TTGTAAGAACAAGATTTGGTTCTGTAATATTATCTCTGAGTTTTGATAATAACAAATGAGTATGTTTATACGAACAATTTTGATACTCTAATGTTTGTTATTGTTGAGTACTTAACAAACAGGTTCTGCTTCTGATAGCATGGTCAAGACATTAGAAGAGAATTAATTCTGCTTCTACGCTACACAAGTTATGTTGAACAGTAGTAAGACACTTCAGAAGGCTCTGAAGTGTAAGCTCTGGTGTTTGTCTAAAGAAACTAGTCAGAAGATCTGAAGACAAAAGTTGTTACTTACGTCCATATGCTAAAGACTCAAGCTTCTAAAGACAATGTGTTCCAAAGAAACAAAGTTAGAAGATCTGAAGACAAAGTTTCTACTGAAGTCCAGATGTTGAAGACTTGTGTTTCTAATAGCAAGGTTATAAAGATAACGGTTTTCAAGACCAAATGTTGAAGACTTGAAGATCTTCTAATCCAAGGTTCGCTACAACGGGTTCTCAAGACCAAGTGTTGTAGACTCTAAAGACGTAGTTATTAAGACTCTGAAGACTTGAAGCTCTTTTGATCTAAGGTTCACTACAACGGGTTCTCATGACCAAGTGCTGAGGACTCTGAAGATGCAGTTTTGAAGACTCTGAAGACTTGAAGGTCTGATGACCTTGTGTTATGTTCTCGCTTCTAAACTCATGCTCGCAGAAGCCTCTGAAGTGCAGAAGGAAAGAAGATAACATTAATATGGTACAATTAGTACATGGTACAATCAATGTTTCATTCCACTACCATGAAAGGACAGATGTGTCGCACGATCTTGTCCCACACGTTATTGTTCAAGCTGCCAATGTTTCTGGAAATCCCAAGAGTATCCCTTAATGGATATATTATTTTATTGGCTATATAAAGGCTTGAAGACTAAGAGAGGAAGCTTCCAATTCACTGAATATTCATGCGCAAACGCTGTTTATAGCTTTCACATTCTTAAGTCACTGTTCATAAAATAGTTTACATATTCAACTTTTTAGAAGCAATACTCTTGTAAACAAAACTTGTATTCAAACAGTTGTTTGATTTTCCTTAAGGGACCGAGTAGGTCTGTACTCTTAAGAAGTCTAGAGCTTGCGAGTTTTAGAAGTTGTTAGTCAATTGTGGGTTGCTTGTGCATTGTAATGATCAGGTTGATTATTGTTTGATATTTCTTAAGGGACCGGGTAGGTATGAATCCTTAAGAAGTCTAGGGCTTGCGAGTCTTAGGGGTTTTTAGTCACTTGGGGTAGCTTGTGCAAATTGTAATCAGTTTGGTTATAGTGAATTAAGTCCTCTATTGAGTCAGGTGAAATCACCTTGGCGGGTGGATATACTAGCTTGATAATTTTCAAGTGAACTAGTATAAACATACTTGTTCTTTACTTCCTGTTCTTACTTATTGTTATTATCAAGAGTGAAGGAAAAAGCATTTTAACCTAAAGGGAAATATTTTTAAAAGAATAGTTTTGTTTTAAAAACCCAATTCAAACCCCCCTTTCTTGTGTTTTTCACACCTTCAGACGTACCCACATGTGAGAATGAAAGTGGGGAATTGTGTACAAATCCTTGTGTCGCTCTATACTATCTCTTTACTCGCTTTTGTTTTCATTACGTAATTTGTCGAATAGCATTATTTTATCGATTGACTTGTAAGAATTTTTTTGCAATTATTTTGTTTAAAGTAGTGTGTTGATTAACTTATAATCACTTTAATTATAAGTGGTTTTCATATCAACAAAGCTCAAAGAAAATTATGAAAAATTGATTGTATGCCACATGTTCGATAAATTGCCAAGTTATGTTTTTAATGTGATCTCATTGGTAATAGGAAACTGTTGTGTTAGATAATAAACTGTTAATTGAGATATTACTATGTTAATTGATTTTATCATTATGTTAATTCCATATGGCTTATGCATATCCAAGTTCTCAATAACTAGGTTCGTTTAGACTACTATTTTGATCTAGGCCAAAAATCTCCTGCTAAACATTTTATTTCAAATACGTTTTTAAGTAACCATTTTGAAAGGTAATTTTTAATTGGGGATCTATTAACCCCCTCTAGATAAGTCACCATAGTCTAACATCTTCAATTCTCGTATTTAGAGATTCCTATATTCAAAGCTCGTGCTAAATCCACTCATCTTTCTCCAATATCGAACAAAATTGTGGCCAAGTTATCAGCTTGGAAGAGCTCGCGTCTTTCTATGGCAGGTAAGGTCACTCTTGTAAAATACACAATTAAAAATATGATCTCTTACATAATCAACATATACTCCTGGATAATGACTTTATTATGGAAAATTGAGAAAGCTTGTCGCAACTTCATCTAGTCTGGTAATATACATAACAAAGTTATTTATGGTTTCTTGGAAAAAAAAACTTGTCAGCTTTCTCAAATGGTGGCCTTGGTCTTCGTAGTTTGGTGAGGTTGAATGAGGCTTCCTATCTAAAGCTTATGTGGAATCTCAAAAGGTGTGATGGGATTCCCCTCGCGAATGCAATGGTCATTTGTGGTTAGAGTTGGCCCCTCACATATGCATGCTTTTAATGGCGTCATTTTCTCTATGGCGACAGAAACAACAACTTTGACTAAAGTAGTTCGATTAGTGCGGTGAGCGTGGTTTGTAAGAATCTAAAGAACATATCCACAAGACTAAGACCACTCTCTCTTCAAAACATGTCCAAAATCTCGAAATTTTTTTATGGTTTAGAAGAATCTAAAGAACATATCCACAAGATTAAGACCACTCTCTCTTCAAAACATGTCCAAAATCTCGAAAAGGTTTTCGACAAAATGGTTGGATTTGACAAAGTCACCAGTTTGTCTAGGACTTTAGTATATTTTCTAAATCTTAACAGTCAGTCAAGTAAAGGGATTGTTTCAACAAGCTCTGAACTAAATATTCTTGAAAGTATTTGAGAAGTTTGAAGCGGTTATTAGCATGACACTTGGTTCCTCAACAATTATATCTTCGAAGACGCGTGGAAACACGTTAGAGTGTGAAGGAACAAGTAGGAGATACGTCTCAGATATTTGGGATCCAAATGTTGTCGATGATTATCTTTAGATTACTATAAATAGAAGACTCGTGTATTGTAATCAAGGTCGCAAAATTCATATATTTCCCTAGAACTGCAGTACCAGAGTCAAAGAGCGAAACAACTTGTGAGGAACATGTATGAGTCTGCGTCCTTTTCTTTCATTGTTGTTATGTTTCCTTAAGTGAAACACTTTGCTTTAATTTCATTTATTTCACTTTTCATTCATTACTTTTATCCAAGATTTTCTTCAACCAAATTCAAATTTTGTCCTCTTACAAACATTTACATTGATTTAGCAAACATTCATTCTTTTACATTTATTTTGTACATATTACTTCCGAGATTTTTCAATTTAATCTCACAAGAGAATTAAACTCGGGATTGTTTGCTAAAAACACCTACAAACAATCAAACCACGTGTTTTGGTTCACTTACAGGATTAAACTTGAAAACATTCTAGGATATATTATGCACAAATCTTCAAGTCTTGAGAAAGTGTGTAATTGATTAAGTTTTGATGATTGAAAAATGGAAGAAGAAGAAGAAAGAAACAAAGTTCTAGTAGAAAATGATGTAAAAACGTTTAAAATGAATGAAACAAATAAAAAACAACATGACTTAATTTTCTCTCTCTAACCAAGTTTTCTCTGGCTTCTCTCTAAATGAAGTTGGCTCATCGGTCAATGACCAGGGGTCCAGAGTGGAAAGAGGCGAGGAGAGGCTTTAAGAACATCATTCAGCTGGGAGACGCACACCCGAAAGGTAGGAGAACGAACGGAGATGAGTTTCTTGGTCTTACTTCCATCTTTTTTTCTGAAATACCTGATAGAACAAATGATGTCAATATTTTCGAGTTGTTCGGTTGTGTAGGGGAGTGGTGGAAGTGTAGATTCTGTCAAAGATGAACAAAATGGGTAAAAGATTCTATTTTTCTAGGTTTAAGGTGGTAGAAGATGTGAGGTTATTAGCTATTAAGTTGGATAACATTCTCATCGATGGTAGAAAGATTCATGTGAATCCACCCAGATTCGATAGGAAAAGAGACTATAAGAGAACAGATGAAGTAGGGATGAGGAAAGGGGGCACAAGGGTTGCGGAAGGATCAGACTTTTAATAGAATAATAGGAAAAGAAGCCTTGGTAGGGTCAAGATCTTTTGGGGAGGTGATAAGATACAAGAATAAGGATGATGGTATCAGAGAGGTGGAATTCTCAAAGTACTTAACCAAAAAAGATGACATAAAGAAGCTGTCGAAGGCCTTCGTGGGCGAGGTGGTTTTTTCAGGCTCAGCGTATAACATTCAAACAAGTTTCTAGTTGGAGGGTTACTTTGCAATCAAGGTCACTCCTTTGGGAGCTAATATTTGTCTTCTGGAAGAGTCGGGTAGTGGGGAGATTGAAGACTTAATCAGAGAAGGCAAAACATGGTGGAAACAATGGTTTAGGGTGATAAGGCCTTGGAAGGAGGAGGATATTGATAATAAAAGGGTCAATGGGTTAGAGCTTTTAGAGTATCAGCTCACGCTTGGAATGGTGTTTTTTTGTTATCTTGGATAACTCCTTTGGTTTCTATGTATGTTTTGATGACAACGCATTGAAGGGATCCAATATGGATGTTGCCAGATTTTTGGTGAAAATCCCTACTTCTTACTTGCTGAAAGATTTGGTGAAGGTGGACATTGATGGAGTAGTGTACTCTATTTTGCTTCGTGAGGACACTTATGGCCCCCTACGGTTGTCGCTGGTATCCAACAATCACAAATCCGTTGTTTCCGTCTCCTCTGAGTAGGAGGAGGGGTGGTCTGGCAACGTCTCAAGCACGAATGGTGAGAATGAAATCGATAATTTTGCTGCAACTTCCTTTCTGGCGAACAAAATTTTCGCGAGTATCGATGTGGAAGATTTGATGGTGAACAGTTAATGAAGTATTAGGAAGATGAAGAATAGGGGTGTAGGGTCTGATAATGATAGCGATAGTGTGTCGAAATCTGCTCGGTGGTCAAACATTATTAGTTTGAAAAAGAAAGTAAGAGAAGACGCTTTCGTTAATAATTGCAGGTTCGAAATTGGTTGTGGTTTTTACACTTCTTTTTGGAACTCGAGGTGGTTGGTCGAAGGCAGATTGAAGGATTTGTTACCGCTGTTATTTTCTATTTCGTGTCTGCAGTCTGTCTCAACAGCGGGAATGGGCGGATGGTTGGATGGGGTCTGGTAGTGGGGGGATTTTGGGATCCCTGCCAATGTCACACAATAAATAGCAGTTTTGATAGAATTGATGAATCTTTGAAGTTTGTTGTTAGAATCTGACCGTATTTCAGATGGCAATGATCATATTATTCAGGGGCTGGAAGTGGATAACAGGTTTTCGGTTTCTTCCTACTATGCATTTTTTGCTGGTTTCCACTTCCCGCATGGTCCTTCCAACCAATACGACATGGCGCTGAGTTTCGTTTGGAAGAAGGATGTGTCATTCAAAATAAGGGTCTTCAGATGAAGATGCATTATTAATCGGCTTCTGGCGAGGGATCTTCTAAAGATTATAGGCATTTGTTTAGAATCTTTAGTTGTGTTCTTTGTTCGACGGCTGCCGGATCTTTAGGGCATTTGTTGTTGCTTTGTAGAGTGACTCGTTTGGTGTGGAGGGAAATAGAAATTTTTATTGGTTTATCGGAGTTTTCGGGAGATGGTTTCCAAGGGAGTTTCATGTGTTGGTTTTCTTACCGTAAGCACGTGAAGGTGAAAGATGGGAAAGATGGGTGTTTTTGGTTGGCGACTAGTTGGAGCCTTTGGATGTTAAGGAAAGACATTATTTTCAGGAACGATACATGGAACGTTCTCAATGTTGTTTGGAATATTAAGGCTTTGCTTTGGAGATGGTATTTTATGGGAGATACTACTCAACCCAAATGCAATTTTTACGAGTTTTGTAACAATCCTTTATATTATTTTTCATAGTTGTATTTGATTTGTAATCTCTCTTTTTGTCAAGATTTGTGCTCGTTATCTTTTGTCAATATGGATCTTTTTGCTTACAAAAAAATCAAAAATAACAACGGGTAATATAAAATTGCATTGCTTTGATTAAGGAAAATAGGAAACAATGTGTAGATTCATACATGTTTCTCTCAAACCCGTTTCTCTCTGTAACTCGGGTACTTTGAGTTATATAGGAATTTCTTATAAGAACTACGGACCCTTAAATCTATACAAGTCTATTTATATACTAATACATGTTGACAACGGCTACTTCTCTAGTGTTCGACACATATCCTAATACGCGTGCTCCTATCCTCTGGCGTATTTCCACATGTCTTGGTCTCTAAACTATTCATGAACTATTGTTAACCATTTTCAAAAATGATTGTACAACCTCTAACTGCTTCTGTTGAAAACTTTCGTGTCAAAATCACAGTGTAACATCGAAATGTCTAAAAGAATAGCAAATTTACTAAGTCCCAAGACTTAGAAAGTGAGTCAAACTCGCTAGGTTAGTATGTTGAAATTGTTGAATAAACTTTAAATGTTATAGTTAGTGGGTTTCTATTAATAAGTTAGTGAAAAGATTAAGAGTCTATTGTAGTTGGAAGGCCAGGAGATAGTGACTTATAAAATAGTATTTACTAATATTATTTACTTTCCTAGAATAGTAGAAATCTTTGTGTCTATATAAAGACCAAGGTTGTATTCTATTTGATAAGAAGATATAAGAAAGTTATAAAGTATTTGCTTCCTCCTTCTAACAAATTCGTATCAAAGCTAATGGCAAACTTGATGAATTAAATGTCGTTGCCATGGCTATTGAAGTCAAATTACAAAAACTAGAGTATCTACATGAAAGCTCTTCTTGGATCTCTAGACGCATGGGATGTGACCAAAGATGGGTTTGAAGAACCAACAGATATTGCGGGATATACGATAGCTCAAAACAAGACGTTGAAAGAGACGCGATCAAAGGATAAAACGACACTATACATGTTGTTCGGGGCTGTTGACGAATCAGACTTCGAAAAGATTTCCGGTTTGACTATATCAAAATAAGCATGGGACACGTTAAAGAAAGTGTTCAGAGAAGCAGACCGAGTGAAGCAAGTTTGACTCCAAACTCTTCGTGGCGAATTGGAGAGGATGCAGATGAAGGAGTCAGAAATGGTATCTGACTACATCACGCATGTACAAAAGGTGGTGAACCAACTCACCAAAAATGGTGAAACAATAACCGATGCGCGGGTTGTTGAAAAGATCTTGAGATCCTTAACAGATAAATTTGAGAATATTGTATGTACAATAGAAGAGTCGAAGGACCTCTTGACGCTCTCAGTCAAAGAGCTTGTTGGTTCTCTCGAAGCACATGAACAGCGTAAGATGAAAAAGAAGGAAGAAACAGCTGAGGAAGCAAATAAAACTAAGGAGTCGATCAAAGACAAAAAGGTACTCTTTTCTCAAAACTTTCGAGAAAGCGGACGTGACCTGGAGGTCGAGACAGTGGTCGAAGTGGTCGAGGAAACAACTTTGAAAGAGGACAGTTGAACCAGCAAAATTGGCGTGGTAAAGGATGTGGTCAAAGAGGTGGTCGGTCGAACCACTCTAACTTTGAATACTACAAGTGTGGTAAGTATGACCATTACGCGAAGGATTTCAATTCCTACAAATGCTAAAACTGTGATAAAGTGGGACATATTGCAAAAGATTTTCGAATCGAAAAGAAGGTAGAAGAAACAACCAATCTAGCTTTGGAAACTAAAGCGAATGAAGGTTTTCTCTTGATGGCCCAAAACGAAATTAGCACCAATAATGACAACGTTTGGTATCTTGACTCATGAGAAAGTAATCACATGTGTGGTCACAAACACCCGTTTAAAGAAATGAAAAAAATTGAAGATGGTAATGTGTCTTTCGGAGATGCATCGAAAGTGAAGTTCGAAGGCAAAGGTACAATTTGTTACTTACAGAAGGATGGCTTGATTGGATCAATCCAAGATGTTTAATATGTACCAGATCTCAAGACCAACATCTTGAGTTTGGGACAACTTATAGAAAAAGGTTTTTTGATACTTATAAAAGATCGTATACTGCATTTGAAGGACAAAGTGGGACATCTGATCGCTCATGTCGAGATGGAAAGAAATCGAATGTACAAACTGAATCTGAGGAACGTTCAAGAGAAATGTCTATAAGTCAACATGCAAGACAAAGCGTCACTATGGCATCTACGCTTTGGTCATCTACATCATGCTGGTTTGAGAAGGTTGGCGAAAAAGCCCATGATGCACGGAGTACCAGACATGGATTATGAAGGAAAGTTTTGTGAAGAATGTGTGCTCAGAAAACAAACAAGAACCTCATTTCAAAAGAAGGCAGAATATCAAGCTAAACATATTCTCGAATTGATTCATACTGATATATGTGAGCCAATCACTCTGGAATCTTTCAGTGGCAAAAGGTGCTTCATTTCCTTTATCAATGATTTCTCATGAAAGACCTGGGTTTATTTCTTAAAAGAAAAATCTGAAGCATTAGAGGTTTTCAAAAAGTTCAAAGTAATGGTGGAGAAAGCAACTGACAGACATATCAAAGCAGTTCGATCTGACATAGGTGGTGAGTACATTTTGACAGCCTTTATGAAGTATTGTGAAGAGCGGGGCATAAGGAGATTCCTAACTGCATCATATTCACCTCAACAAAATGGTGTGGCTGAAAGAAAGAATCGAACAGTTATTGACATGATTCGATCATTGATTAAGAGCAAGAACATGTCAAAAAAATTCTGGGCAGAAGTTGTATAATATGCCATTTATGTTTAGAATCGATGTCCATATTCGAAGTTAGAAAATCAAACACCAAAGAAGCATGGAGCGGACAGAAGCCAACAGTTTCTCATCTCAAAGTATTTGGTAGTGTAGCTTATGCACATGTACCAGATCAACAAAGAATGAAACTTGAAGACAAAAGTCAAAAGTACATATTTGTAATACGGTGGGAGAACTGACTTGGGTGTTTTGCATTTTATCGCAATTGTTGCGGATAGAAAGAGTTTCCACCGAATTTTCTTTTATCCAAAAGGAAAGGTTGAAAAGAACAGGAAAGACCTTTGAGATTGTTTTCTTGAGTTCGGGGGGTAGGTTATGAAAAGGGAAGATATTAGCACCCTTTTCATCCGTAGTTTTCTACGGGCTCTTAGTTGCTTGCTAGATCACTTGATTTTGTTTGAAAATGTGCTTGTGGTGTGTTTTTTGAAAGTATTTTGAAAAATATCTTTGTAATGGTTCTCATTTCTATAAGAATGCATACAAAGTGTTGATTTTGAAAATAGTTTAAAGAGGTATTTGTGGAATGTGTTTTTGAAAGTGATTTTGAAAAGATGTCTTTATAATAGTCCTCGTTTATATAAGAACGTGTACAAAGTGTTTTAACTTTTGAAAATGTTTAAAATGAAAGTGTTGGTGTATAAAATGTTTTTGTTGTGAGCAAGCGAGCAACTAGGAGTATCCTACCTACTCAAAAGGTCTAATGTTCTTTTCCTCCTCCTTTAGATGTTTCTATCTTGCCATTGATTTGGTAAGAAGCCCCATCGTTGGATGTGAAGGGACAGACGTGGGTCAATCGTACAGTCTGTAAGTGTTTAGTTATTGGCATGTATTTTTGGTAAAACCAGGTGTGTAAATGTCATGACTGATGTCATAACATTCTGGATTATTAGGTACTTTATGCAGAAAAAGTATGGCATACAGTAGCTACTGTTTATGAGTGTGTATCTGAGCTTTTTGCAATGATCACATTTATTGCCTTCTACCAAAATCAGTAAACAGGAATTCTGATGTCATAACAAATGTTAAGACATCCTGTACTGATCTAACAGATATGCAGTTTGGTTAATTCTGAGATTTTTCAGGAAGTTGGCTCATTCCTTCCAGAACAGAATCTCACGTGGACTTTGGGTTAACCTAGCTCAACCCTAACCTGGTTGATAAAGTCTTGTGACCAAGTCTTAAGGTTAAACCTAATTAACCCTAGCTTTTTGTGGAAACCCTAACTGAAGAAACAGCTGCATATATATTCAACAGGAATGCTGGTTGCAGAGTAACTCTTTTGACTGAAGATCAATTAGGAGCTGTATAGTTTTAACTGCTGTAATCCAAGCAAGTATCATTGTGATAAGTGACTTGGAATAGGTTTTGATTGTAAGGGTTTTTGTATCACTCAAAGCTTTGAAGCAAG